TATTTGAAAATTATGTGTAAAATACTATACAAGTTTCAAAATGAAAAAAATTGTGTAATAAATTATGCGATAATATATAAAATATATTATATTATTATAACAAATCGAATCAAGTTGTTATCAAGTCGGATTGACATACATATATGTTTCATTTAGTTAATAGATTATTGATTCGCATCTTGATTAGGTTATCAGATTAAGACCATAAATTCATCTTTCATTAATTTCATCGGATTCTAATCAAAATTCAATTCATTGATAGCTCTATTTATAAGCCTATGTTTGACAATCATTATTTAGGAAAAATAGAGTTTTGAATTTTTAAAAGAACGCATCGTTAAAATGTAGGAAATTTTTTTGGGATTTAAGTGTATAATATTTTATTGTGTGAATGTATAATTGGAAATGAGTGTGTAGGAAAAAGAATTTGAAAATAATAGTTGTCAAACGTAGGCTAAATTGCTCATAAAGATTCGAGTCACTTTTAATCCATATATTTTGAGATATCCATGAGCATTGTTCATTTATATATCACTGTTTTTATTTATTTATAATTTAAACCCTTTTTATGCACTTCCTAAACATTACAATTATCAATTTGGTGACAATTAAGTAGTAGTAATTGATACGTAAGGATATAGGTCTTATTTAGGATGACGTATTAATAAATGTTATTTAAATATCATCAAAGTTTATGATGATCATTAATCCAGATAAATAATATTACTCAAAATAAAAAGCTTGCCACAGATTGAGAGAGAGCACCCAGTGTGCATTGAATGTATTAGTTTTGCATACAAAGAGTACAAAGAGACGGTTAGAACATCTCCAATGGTAGTGTAAAACTGGGTGTCTAAATTCAAAATTTACTTCAATGGAAAAATCTAAATCCAATTTCTGCTTCTTTGTGGATGCCGAAAAATGCAATTTACATTTCCTTTGCGTCTCTCCATCAAAGAGATTTTCGATCACTTTGAAGATTTAAATCACAATTCAGAGCTATTTTTCATCACGATTAGAGATGTTCTTAGGCTTTAAAGAAGCAAATTAAGACTAGAGAAACTAGAAGAAAGTGTTAATGCGTGTAGGAAGAAGTTGAAAGAATAAGGAAAATCTTATAATTGACATTTTGATTAATAAAGTGATCAATAGTTTGTACAGTCCGTTTAAGTGATATTTTCCAACTCAATGCGACAATCCGATTTTATGTCACTAGTTTAGACCCTCCATAAGACGTTTAGTACCCATTAAAATATTCCAAATCCACAAATGTACGAAACGAATCATAAAATTTATCAATAAAGGCACAAATTAATACGTTC